GGTCTGTTTCCGCCCCTGATGCGGATCAGGTGCAATTATACCGTCCAATGATTTTAATTTGTAGCGATTAAAAAAGGCACTAGAGTACTGCACCATGTCTATAGGTTAATTGAATTTATTAGAGTTAATTTTTTAATTAAAAATCTATGTAGTTGAATTTTTTAAAAACTTCTAACTTTGCCTCGTTTAGGAGTACTATTATGTTATGTTGGATTGAGCTGTGTTGTAAGTTAAATTTCTTAATAAAAAAATATAAATATTAATTGAAATTAGTTATTTGTAATAAATTTATAGTTTGAGATATTCTGTTGTTCGAAAACGTGCTGTGTAAAAGCCCTCAAACAAAGCCTTTAACTCCAAATTAGAAATTGTGTAAATATCTCATAAAAATTAAAAAAAAAAAGTCTAAATAGCAAGCACACTAAACTAACTTATATAAATCATTGAGGCAAGTAGAAACCGTTTCTCTACTTTTTAAAAAAAAAATTTAAAGCAATTATTTCATTTTTACCTTTAGAATTGTGCTTAGGGGTGAGTATTTTTTGGTATAAATTAGATATGAGTTATATTTTGTATTTAATTTAAATTTTTTTATACAATTTTTTAGATTTAGTACATATAATATTTAAACACTTATGCTTGATGCCTAAACCAATAGATCCCGAGTGACTAGCGAGTATATACCTATATATTTGGTTCATGTAAAAAAAATGTCTAATATGAGATATTATTATTGCATATGTTATACGTTTAGTTTAGGATTTATTTTTTATATGAATTATTATTATTGTATGTGTGATTTGTTTGACTTATAGGCCTTAATTTTTATTTTTATATTTTTTATTTTATTATTTTTAATTTTAAAAATTATTATTATTATATAGATATTAAATATAATAAATACATATAAAATTTTAATTATATAAATATTGATAATAAGTCAATTAAATAAGTCAGATAAATAATTCTGTACTCTGATATTTATTACCCAATTTAATATTTATAAATATATTATTTTCATAACCATTACTTATTTATTTTTATTACAATTGAAATGTACTACTTGCTTAAGTAAAGTACTTGCAATTAACTCCTGTACCCATACCCAAAGCTCATCTATTTGTGCTTGGTTGGATTCGGCCTTCTCCACGCCCATATATCCCAATAAAATGGGCCAATGACAAGAGGTCATTTTCTTGATAGACCAATGGAATGACCAAAAGGGTTTTGTTAGCAGTTGGCCCAATGGAATGGACCCGCTTTAGGGGCCTATAACTCTGTGCCCAATAGAATTGTACTGTTATTTAAAATAAAATTTTACCATCCCTCCACTCAACCCAAACTTAGGAGCAAGTATTTATAAGTAGGAATGAATTATAATTGACATTTGATTTAAAAATCTTTTAATATAATTTTATAGATTTGATATTTATCTAAATATTCAAAGACATATACTTAGTATTTAACTCAATAGATATTGATAATTTGCAAATATATATTTATATACTTGATTTACAGAAAGAAAATATCTAATATGAGATACTATTATTATGTGTGTTATGTGTTAACTTAAGGTTTATTATTTGCATGGTAAAGACTTAAATAATTCAATAGTAATCTACTTTCACTGAAAGTAAGAGATTTTAAGTTTGAATCGCATGATATGAAGGTAGGATGTGATAAGAGATATGAGAGAGAAGAGAGTTACTTCCTGTTGTGCAATCAATATAAAAAAAAATTATTATTTACATGAATTATTAATATTATGTGTGTGATGTATTTGGTTTATAGGCCTTAACTTTTATTTCAATTTTTTATATTTTATTATTTTTATTTTAAAAAATTATTGTTATTTTAAAAAATTATTGTTATTATATAAATATTAAATATAATAAATATACGTAAAATTTTAATTATATAAGTAAAAGTAATAAGTCAATTAAACAAATTAGGTAAAAAATTTTGCTCTTCAATATTTATTACTTAATTTAATACTTATAAATATATTATTTTTATATTCATTATTTATTTATTATTACAATTCAAATATACTACTTATAAAGTAATTGCAATTAACGGCTGTACCCATACCCAAATCTCATCCATTTGTGCTTGGT